CACTACATTCGTCCTCACCCCTCGAGGTCTTATCTACATCCCTTCACTGCGTTCACACTTTGGGCTGGTTATTGACGTCAAGCCTTGCCCAAGGCATCTAATCTCCGATTCCATATCTTTTCTGCTACATGTATCTCCCTTCCTAGTTTAATACACACTACCTTTCGGTTCTATCCTAATAGCCATGTACGATTGAGCCTATTGCAGCACCTACATGTACTTTTGTTGCCATGTAATTACACACACAATATCATCGTCAATCCACCCAACTTTTGAACATCTCATTATCAGGATTCTTGCTCAAATGCTATCTTGCTTCACCTAGAGCGCATAAGTGTCGCCTCGTCATCGGCTCCAGCCAAACGCTCCAAGTTCAGGCTGTGCAGCACTGCAATCGCTCCAGTCCTCAGCTGTGACCCGTACGAAAAGTTGGGGCAGCTGGAACCCACAGTCCCTTCGCTTGCACTTCAGTCTTTAACCACTTCTCTGCACATCTTCTAGTCATGCATCATGCCCTCGAAGTCTCCGAAGTCTTTGCCCAAATCCTTCCGTTTGTTCGCTTCGATGATCTGACATCGATTGCGCTCACATGCAAAGCATTCCTTCCATCTGCTCAAGACGAGTTCATCCGCCGCCTACATCGACCTAGTTCTCTTGTCCATGCCCTTCTCCCACCCGATCTCATCGAAGATGCCCCACTTTGCCTACTCAGTGCTTATAGCGGCACGGAGCCTATGGAGGAGTTCTTCCCCGCAGCATTATCCTCAGTCGTACCCATCAAATATGCTTTTAGGTCCCGCAATGATTTGAGGGAAATCGCTGCCAGGGAGGCAGCTGAAGCTGCAGCTGCCGCCGAGGCTGCCGCCGAAGCGGAAGCCGCCGCTGCGCAAGCAGAAATGGTCCCCGACTCTGAGGAGGCCCTCGATATCACTGAGACCCTCGCAGCTTCTGACGAAGCTGAAGCAGGTGAACCTAGTGTACCATCTCAAGGTATAAATACCGAAGTGGACCCAGCTGATTTCGATGATGGCGACGCTGGAGACGACGGTGCAAGTGTTGGAAGCAATGATACTTCTGTAGTAGATCAGGCTCACGACGGCGTCGCCGTAAATGCACCCACCACATCTATCTATGCATGGCCCAAGGACTGGCAGTACGTAAAGGTGCGTCCACAAGCTGATCATCTGGTTTTGCCAATCTTCTGAAACTGACGGCCACGATTGAAGATTCTGCGCCGTGAGCCAAATGAAGACGACATAGCTCGCTTCTGTGCAAAAACACGCCTATGTCGCTCTCTACGGTATGGTGGCGGCGATCAGAAAGCACTCCTCGTCATCCTCGCCTTAGAGCGCCTATTCCCCAATATGGATTTCTTTCCCAATCTGCAAGAAGTCACCATCGAGCATCCTGGAAGACCTTATTCTCTTCACCCTGACCACTGTTCTAAGGGCCTCTCGATCCCATTCCCCTTCCTCCACAAAGTGGATACCATTATACTTCACCAAGATCATGCAATTCGTCCTTCACGAGATAGTTGGGACTTCTACTCCGAGTGGACCGATCTCCGGCCCAAGCCAGAGCTAGTACATCACCTATCGTTTATGTCCACTATGCTCACATCCTTAGAGGACCACTGGAAATACCAGCTCGATAATGCGAAAATTCAACCGGTTTCGACCCGCTTACCCCTTCAAGAGCTCATGGAAGAATATTTGGCCGACAGCGAGATGGATCAAGCTACATTATTTGGAAACCTCCCTCAAAATCGTCCGGAAACGGTGTCGGTGAAAACTCACTCCATGGACATCCCATACGGCTTTCTGAATCTCATTAGGGCAACGAGGCACACATTGTATAGCCTCACTCTCCCCTCAGTCCCCGACATGAGTATGTGGAGGGCCTTAGACGCCGTTCCAACCCTCGAACACCTTACCCTTGGTCAACGCGGAGGTGGTGGCCACTTATCAGGAGACTGGCGACCCGACCAGTGGCTAGAGCGCAGCTCCCTCACCGACTCAGTGATCATTCCTATCACCTTGCGAACGCTTGACTCGCTCACCGTCTGTAATCATGGCGTATGCGCCCGCCTGATCAATGTCGTCTATCGAGTACAATTCCCTAACCTCACGAGGCTTGTTATCGAAGATCCAGCCGAAGAGTCGGGTGTCGAAAATATTCCCTTTATGCTTGAGCATGTTGGTGAGCACATGCCAAAGCTACGGCACCTTTCCGTTGATATGGGAAACCCAAGGATCCATGATGGGGACGACACGACGCCATACTCAATCTTCAGGACACCGGAAGACGTCGATGCACTCCTTTCCAGAACCCCTCTCCTCGAACATCTCCACATCGTCTGCTCACCTAAATCGTTCATACCCTCCCTCGAAAATCCCCATATCCCTATCCTCGCATCATCTGCTCCAAATCTTGAGCACTTTTACCTCGACCCTCTCCGTTCCCCATTCTCAAATATCACTCTGGATGGCCTGCTTCCATTCGCTCACTCCAGTACGAAACTTGTGAGTCTCGGGATTGGACTGAGCCTCGAAACGTCTCATTTTGTCTACGCGAGCGCCATGTACATGGCAGAACTACAAGATGCATCTCCTAGCAAAGTGGAGACGCTCAATCTTGGCGCCCCATGGGTGCAAGACTCGGGGGCAACTGCCGAGTTCCTTCGGACCATTTTCCCCGATCTCCAGCATGTTACGCTGCCCGACGAAAAGCGGTACGAAGTCGAGTCTGCTAGTGGGCGCTGTTTTGCATGGAACAAGGTCGTGCAATACGTCAAGGGCCTGAGCGAAGGAGCGAGTAGTGTGGAAGCCCTTGCCAAGATGACTAGAAAGCTTTCCGTGGGTCAGATAATGGACTATGATGACGACGAAGACTATTACTATGACTCGGGTGCTGACGAGGATGAGGATGTGGAGGAATATGATGAGGACGAATAAATACTATCCTAGATTGCATTCATCTTGTATCTTTGGTGGAATCCTTCATATATCATAAATAGTAGCGAAGATCGTCAGTTATGAATGCGTTCTTGCCCCCTCATAAAATCCCCACGGTCTCATGGAAGTTTTGATGTTGGGCATCACGATTCAGGACCCGTCAAACTAGCAGCAGATGGAGATGTTGATTCGCTCAGATCATGGCACGCGAACCGCAGATACAGTAATGGCGAAGGAGTTCTAGCATGTTCTACTTAGAAACCCACCGACCATGCAATCTCCACCAACAGGATTCCATCCGACCCCGTCCCTCCGCAACAGCCATGCTCAAGCCCATAGCCTCATTATCCAGATGTGGGCCTCATTTGGGAAGGAGTTCTCCTGCAGAACGAGACGGCGCGCCCGAACAAGAAATCAGTTGGCCGGAGCAGAGAGAAGAGGAAAGGTGATGAATCAACAACTGCCATACTCGCCCAGAGGATTTCACTCTGACATATGCTCAAAGAGTACAAAGCGGAACAATGGAGAGAGGCTGAAGATGATGAGAGCTCGCGGGGCGCGACTTATGGAGAGTGGGATGGAATTTGAGACAAGCAGCATGGGCAGGAAGGAGGTTCGGTCATACGCCCGCTTGACAATGTGGTCCCACCGGCTCGGTCAGAAATCTTGCAAAAAGGAGACCGCAAATAAGCGATTAAATATGAGAGGCTAGGCAGCAGGACTAGATCCCAGTGCAATGAATGTAGCCGAATAGATGGTTTCGGGTATTGTGACTGTCAGGTATGTCATGACACAAACGCACAGCGAGAACAATATTTTTTCGGAAAGCAGAGGAAGAAGACGGGTTGTTCCCTATCTCGAGGGCACCATGACCGGAAATGTATTTGGAGTCCGGTTTTAACTGTATCTGGGGAAATAGCTAGCTACTCACCAGCGTGGTTTCGAGAAAGGCGCACGAATAGATTTCCCATGTAAAAACCACTAATAAGTCTCCCCCAATAATCGTCGGAAGGAGCTTGATTTTTCCCTTGACCATGTGAGGGGGCTCGGTATCAAGCAACGAGCCGAAGCAGACGTTGAATGCTTAGACCCATAAGCGCCAATCCAGTTGGAACAGCACGATTGAACCCACGTGCATCATATGCAACCTTGTAAGGATAACAGGCCGTTGGGAAGAACAATGAGACGCTAATGAGGGACAGTGTTATCCCTCTATATGTGAGTAACGGCGATACAGCGAGAATACATGCACATAAGCTGTTGAAGCTAGATGGATGAATGAAAGGTGGAGGGTTGATGAGGGAGGAGCAAAAGCGAGAGGTTGCATGGAAGAGGGGGAATGTGGCCATCGCAGTCGATTTCATGTCACGCAAATAGAGATGAGGGACAGACCGGAGGAGGTTTCTGGGAGGTCAATCAACAACTATCTACTTTCGGCTAGGCATAACCGAAGTGTCGTTGGATAGAGATTGTTTCCAATTTTTTTTTTGGCCAGGGACATTCTGAAATGCAGCTTCAACATTCTTTTCCATCGCCACTGCTGGAACTCCTCTCCGGATCGCCTAGTGGGACCACAAACTCGCTGAGTCTACAGAGTATCATGTAGCTCATGACACCAGACAGGCATCACAACCTTCTCTGGAGCATATGGCATCAAATCTTCCGACTCGAAGATGTATTCTTAATCAATCAAGAGCTGAAGGTGTCTCCTGGAGTCGGAGGTGGGCATTCCGACGGTGACAATAGCACGTCCACAGTTCTCTTAGGCGGAAACACAATCATGATGTCGAACCACCGCAAGCTCGGCGGTGAAGTGACAAGCTTTCAGAGAGAATGAGTGACTCGGAGGTGTGACCATCACACCTGGCAAGGTCCTCGTCGCAACATGGTCTTCCACAGTGGATTGAATCCTTGTAGCCTCAAGCACCTGTAAAACTATGGAAATAAGCTCTGTAGGCAACCCATACGGTTAATTTGAGGCCTTGTGATAGGACGGATAATAATTGTTAACGATGATATAGAGCTTGCATCCATGCCTCTCAACAAGTCGAATTGGCTCAGTTGGTTAGAGCGTTGGTCTCATAGTTTCCTATGAGTAATCCCGGATTACGTAATCCAAAGGTCGAGAGTTCGAGTCTCTCATTCGACACACTTTTTGCAGGTCGTTCCCAGCATTTTTCCAATTTTCCTTGATTTTTGGACATTTGGTAGGTCGCGGAGACGAGTTTTTCGGTTTTGGACGATTTTCACGTCAAAACACGACTGAATACTCATTTTATCGCTCTTATAATACATGCTGGACCCTTAGAGCATCATACGCCAAGTTGAAGCGGACTGTAGTATCATGGGGGGAAGTGGTGGGATGGGGGGAGGGCATGCTGTGTGGCGCCTCCACGTGTGTTATGTAAACAGAGCAAGAACGAATAAGCTCCTGTAGAGTGATTTTTAGACTGGAACAGAACCTATATCGAAAAGGGGAAGCGTTCAGAGAGACAGTCTGGTGGTGAGATCTGGGGGTGGTCATCGGAAGGATGGGAAATGAAGAGGCCAGAACTTCACTGTTTCGCACGTATATAAGCAGTAATTCGTGAGGGAGTAAGTTAATATGTCCGTCCTGTCCTTATTTATTGAAAATCGAATGACAAACAAGGGAGAAATCAGCAAGCTGGTATTCAGAGACACTGGAGCAAACAATAGTCAATATCTAACCTCCCTCGCATTGCCACGTCAATCTGAGCGGCGAAATATTAGGGTAAAATGCTTAAAATCAAAGGGAAAATCTAGACTAAATTATGACTTTCAAATACATGTCTGGTCTGCGGATGAACATTCTTGTTCAAGGCCTTATTGACAAATGTTAACCTTGTGATCCTCCAATGCGATATTCCATGGCATGACTGCTGAGCGGACATTCCTTACTACCATTTTTACCAGAAGTGTCTCTCGACTGCGGGCATCCGTGGTGGTGGCTGGGTGAGTTGCATACAAGTGAAGCCACTGATTTCAACCTCAACACTAACACTGCTGGGTGAACCTACCCATGGCATCGACGAGGTCTAGGAGGAGCAGGATTCGCTTTCTGAGTACCTCTCGCTGGTGAGATGGCGGCGTGAGTCGGCTACTAATCAATATGAGATCCGGGGCACGTGCTCTACCTGGTCCGTGCTTTTCGCTCTCCTCCGCTATCCTTGCTGCTACGGGCAAGAGCAAGACAGCAAAGAGGAGGAAAACCTCAGTTTACAGTATTGATGAGACCAACAGAGATCATCGACAGGTATTGATGCATCCTATCAATATGCACGGTAAGTCTATTGGGTGCCTGTTGTCTACTCTCAGGGCAACTACGTCTGATAGTGGCCTCCGTGCTCTCCAATGTCTTGAATGTACCATTAGGGCGCCTCTATGCTCGTAGAACATATCCATATGTCAGTAGTTCCATTTTTTTCAATTCAAGCGAGCCAGCTTATACATTTCCAAGCTCCCAGTCAGGCGCCCATCTCATCGCGTCAATGCTCCAGGGTCAACAGACCCAAAAGTATAGTTTTCCGCTATTCCCGTCCCAAATTGATCCTTGCTCACGTCTTTCATGGCTTCAGGCTCGAGTTCTTGCCCAGTAATCTGGAGAAAGCTTGGTGTTGAGGGGAAAGCGGTACGTCTGACCGGCGTTTTATTATTATTTCTCCAAAGACGGGGGGCTGATACTAGACTCGATCCCTATATTGCCTCTTTGACCACTATTTCTGGTGCCAAAGGCAAAGGTTCTGCTTCTAGCGCTAAGGACAAATGCTCATCCACAGTAAAGTCAGCTGCTCCAAAGGCGATGCCTGAAACAGTGCAAAGGGAAGCCCTGGAGTTGAAAAAAGGATCTACTCGCTGTAAGTTCTTTTCCCCGGACAATTCTCTCCTCGAAAGCACTGCTCAGATTAGAGTCATTTAGGTATACAACTCAATTTCTTACTATGGTCTGGATCCTTTTCGTACATCGCTAGATTTTTTGATACAGAAGCTGTAATAACACTACATAGTATTATCATAATTGATTGCTGATTAGAATGCATTTCTATTCGTGAAACGAGCGACCAGAACGCTAAACTACATAATTGACAGTCCCGGAATCCCCAGGATATGTCCCTGTAAAACCCGTGGATATTTCCAGGTTCAAACCAGGGAAGACGCCATTTCCCTGGTCTTCCTGGGGATATGTCCTGTGGCTATCATTATCGAACCCCCAGGATCGATCCCTGTACCCAGGATATTTCCTCGGGAAATATACCGGGGAAGTTCCCCCGGTTCCATTCCCTCTGTGCAGTCGATCAACGTACAGGGATCGGAGCCATGGCAGTGGTTCCGCTCGCAAGCGACACCCATGCGGGTTGCGCGAAGAGGCAGAAACCAGGATTCACATGTCTCTGGCCCTTCTCGCACGTGTTATCCCATCACAGTCACCAGACCGAATTGTTGCAAATAGTTTCGCGCACATCCGCCGAGCCAGGAGCAGGGGCAGTCTCAAGCTAGGCGAGGGAGTATATTTATGTCAGAGCATATGTAAGTTTGGATGCACTTGCCATAGGAGGACCCGCCTTCAGTGGAGATGTTCAGAGCGTCTCCGATCGCGAAGCAGACATCTTCAAAATCAGCTTGGGGCGGGAGAGGAATGGCAGCTTTTTCGTTAGCCCCAGCGGCGTAGATAGTAGTTCTGAATGACACCATCGCAGCTGGGGAAATGGAAGCAGAGCCAGTTGGGGCGGCGGACTCGGCGACAGTGTCTAGTAGGGGGGAGTATACTATGATCGTGTATTTGGGATGGGTGGGGAGGATACGAAAATACACCCATACGTCGGGCGATGGTACAATACAGAACTTCAGATAGTTTCAAGTTCACCAAGGACAGAATCTGTTGACCAGGATGTTACAAACAATATTCGCTACGACTTCACCTGTTCTCACGCAAGATGCATACCGAATCTAGCGCCTGGTAATAACGTCGAACAAATACTGAAAAAAATAATTGGAATAGATAAATACAATGTAATCTCAGTCACACTCCAGCAACCGTATGAGTCGTATGATGGCCGAGCAAGAAATCTCCCGTAACTTTGCGAGTGGTACCGCTTGCGATCCATCTCTCGTAGCTGAAAGGGGGGGCCTCTCTTTCGCCAGTGGCACCACCGGCACCGGCACCACCGTGAGGCAGGAGCGTCTGGGTGGATGGGACAGGAGAACCAACGGGCGATGGCGGGTCGGGAAGTGGCTCCCCCAGCATACCTGCAGCCGTCCCACGATGCATGTATTCACGGTACTTCTTTTCAGGCGAATCATGGTACATCGTTTCGGGGACAAATCCCTGGGCGAGCGACACTCCCGCGACGTACAACTTGTGGTCATCGTGGTCGGCAGTAGATTCCGAAGACGTTGCCATGGAATAATTTTGCCCGACATACCTGGTACAATATGGGTTAGTGGCGAAAGAAAGAATTCCAGAATGAGTAACGCACTTCTCATATTCGGGTTGTTCGTCTTCGTTCACTGTGGGCGAAAGAAGATTCTGGATGAAAGCTTCTATAGAGTTTGGATCAACATCGGGACGTGGCTTGGCCTGCGTTTCGCCTCTTCCGAGATGATCCTTGTGCTTGGATCCACGCTCGCTCGCCTTACGCGCTCCGTTTTGCCCAGATCCAATCCAGCGCCGGACGCCATCCATGATCCTATAGTTCTCATGGTTAGTTTTTTTTTACGAGGAAAGGAGACTGTGTTGGCCCTTACTTTGGATGCTGCTTTGATGGATCGATGTTTGGCTGTAAGGGACTACGGTCAATCTCCTTTGCATGATTGCTGGAGTGCCATGTTAGCATTATCCCTTGCTCAAGCAAGCTTCATAGACTTACCCAGGGAGCTTCTCGGTGCTGTTCATGCGATAAGCAAAGTGCTTTCCAAGACTCGTGAATAGCGCCGGGCGATAATACTCATTCCAATAATCGCCTCCCTGTTGAAGGTTTGGACTCCCACCTTCCACCCTCTTTCCGCCCTCAGAACCTGCTATCGCAAACTCTCGTAGCCTCCTCTCGCAGTCCTCGACGACGTAAGCAGGTTCGAGGTTCCTAGGGTCATACCACTCTTGATATGTTCGCCCAGGGGGTGGTGTAAGGGGTCGCTGACGATTGGGGCGGCCGTGAGTCTCCTCAACGCCGAGGAAGATGTTGATCGCAGCTTGCTTGTCGGCGTCTATAGGGAAAAAAGGGCGGATCAGACAAGGGCAACGGGATCCAATCGAAAGTAGCATAACAGACCAAGCATGGAGTTGGCATAGAATCGACGAATGTTCTCGATCATATCTCTCGAGTGACTGTTCCAGTGGGGCATCCGCCGATACGTCTCAACACGGTTGACGAGGGCGCTGCCTGTATATTGGAGCGCAATTGCTACGAGTGGGGGGCTTAGCGAATTGTTGGGGACTTGATGAGCGATCTAACTTACTATCACCGTGATCGTGCCACATCTGCGTGAGCATGTTCACCGCATCGGAATCAAAGCCCAGATGAGGCTCCGAGATGATACCAAGAGCATAAAGCTGGTGGCCAAGGGCCTTCTTCCCGAACACAAATTGCGCGGCGTTCGTTCGATCAAGACAGTCAATGCAATTCGTGCGAACAATGCCGTTCTGGAGCGAGATACTTGAGCGGTATGGAATCCCGCTGCGCGAAGAGCTGAATGAGTAGATGTCCGGGAGCTAAATTAGGCGTATGAACAGCACACTCACTCGACTTCTGCGCGCAAGTAGTGAGAGTAGGGCTCTGGGCCTGTATGGAACAACCCAGTGAGGTTGATGCACTCCTCTGCCATGTCTTCAAGCACGCCAATCACATCCTTCTTTTTTCTGTTACGGGGGGAGTTCAGAATGAGATTCAGGTTCAATGACTGTGGACATACTCCTTGTAAGCCTTTGACATGTCCCACGGATGGTATATCAGCTTCTTGTCAGCAGGAAGGAACTGATTGAGGTAGTCGATGCATTTCGTGTACTCCTTTAGGAGCTTGGATTCACGCGGTACAGGCTCTCTCGACTAAGAGTGATATTAGACGATATTAGCCACGGTGGCCGGACAGCGCGAGCCGCCAGAGGAGAGAGAGCTCACCTTGATCAAGTTGAGA